AAGTTTCTTCATCTTTAAAATGGGGATACTATATCTAAGCACTTAGAAAGTGAGCAGCCTAATTTTTTGCTGTTAGGATTGTGTAAACCCAGATTAAAACCTCTCAGTAACCCACTGCTGCCAAGGAATATTCAATGTATAAAATTCCTAAGTGAAGGCAACTAGAAAGGAAAATGTGCCGCAAAATGATAAGAGTGCTCCTCAAAAAAACAGAAACGATGTTAGATGAAATCTATCCTTGCCCTCATGATTTGGGATAATGGAAGGATGGCATTATCCTTAGGCTGTGTGGCTGCAACATGAAAATCTCAGCCTGCACAAAAATCACATGTGAAACTTGTTGAAACTTCAGGTTCCTGAGCATACATCTCCCCTCCCTACCTATGATGCTGGTTCAGGAGGTCCAACTTGACTGCGGAGTGTTACTGTCATGTCCTACGCAAAGAGAGAAGAAAAAAACATGTTTGTCTGGTTTTGTTTTTTCATCTGTTAATTAAAGGAGCCACCAGCTGAAATCCCCTACTATTAACCTGAAGCCCGTTTGGATTTCTGCAAATCCAAAGGTTAATTCTCTTCCTTGTTATCTTGGCTCCAACCTAAGGTCTGGGTTCCCCAGGGTCCAGAATTCTCTAAAAAAAACTCAGAATTATTTTGCTTTTCTCTAGGAGTAGGAAAGTGGGACTGACTTCCCAACTTTTAGCCCCTAAAAAATAACTACAGTGGCTTAACATATCAAAAATATGAGTATACTATAGAAACAGAAGGGAGGTGGATCACAGCGTTCAATTCGTCTTTTTCGTATAGACAGGGTAAGCGCTAAATAGGAGCAATGAAATAAGAGGATGAGAACATTTTGCTCTTCACCTGACTCTCAAAGAAACTTTCTGAGATAAATCCTGGGACAAAGAAGTTCTACAGTAACATTTTATAGGAATTAAAAAGCACCAGAACTCACTCTCAGAGGGCACTCCGGAGCCTAGATAAGCTGACCTGGGAATCCTGTGGATGAAGAGTGTCTCCCCAGCTGGGTATATGCCAGACTTTTCCTCCGTGTCTTCTTGTGCTGGGTCTTTGTGCACGGCACACTGGACTCAGTCTCACCCCAGGCAGGAGGAAACCCAGAATCGGCTCTACCCTGGGTTGCCAATGACAACTGGAAGCTCTAGGCTAAGGAGACAGCCTCCTGGGCAGCCTGTTTTTGCTCTTTCCCAATCTGTTCAATTCAGTTGCCTGCCGGCAGGAGTATTCTTTTTGTGCCAGCTTTAAACCACTGAGTGCCCTGGGCCTGGGCCCGGTGTCTGAAGCTGCGTCCAGCGCTTGGCCCAGTGCTTGGCTTTCTGCCCAGGAGTTGTCAAGTGTCTGCACTGGATATCTGTCCCTTCATCCACCTGTCCTCCAATCTTCTCCTTGGAACAGTGGGATAAACCATCCATCCTTGTCATTTTTCTAAGCCTACCCAAAAACTTCTTCATGCCCTTGTTAAGGGAATGGGCCCAGAGTGGTTGCAAGCACTGGCTGAATAAGAAGGAAGGGTGCTGGGACTTGTAAAGGCATTTAGGGATTCCTTCAGAGCCCTCAAGTGATCACAAAACATTTTAAAGGGCCGCTGGGCCCCGGGCTGTGGATTCTTCAGGAACCAGAGCTTGAAGGCCGCCTCAGCTTGTAGGACTCTTCTACAACCTTTCCATCCTTAAGATCCTTTGGCTAAATATAGCCTTTCGGAAGGGGGTGGGGAACCTAGCTAATTATAGCCTCAAAGGGCTTGTAAGTGAGGCGGAACCTGTCAAACTATACCCCTTAGGATACTATACAGCCATTCCACAGGATACTATACAGCCATTCCACAGCTGCCTTCTGGGTGTTGGGACCACACCCACCACAGGAGGATGGCCTGAAGGGAGAGGAAGAGTGAAGTACCTGGAAGGGAGGGAGAACCACCCACCGATTTGGAGAAAAAACTGACAGGACTGGAGTGAACACTGGAGGTTCCTGCTACATTAGAATTCCCACACTAAGTTCCTGAGCACAGAGATTTATGCCATAGTTAAATCTCCAAAGTTGAATGGCTTCAGAAAGTCGTAGAAAAGTAAACATTCTATTTAACCACTAAGTGGGTGGCCATCACATATGTTACATATCTGAAAATTTAAGTCAGAACAGCTTGAACCTTTCCATATCTAATTCCCAATAGTAGTTCTGAGCTGGATTGGTATTGTTTATTAACAAAACCAACACGGCTGTTTCCCTCTTAAAAAAAAAGGTAGTTAGCCCTTCGATGTAAATCTATGTATAAAAAAATAATGCTTTGTTTCCAAAATCATAAGCAAGAGAGCCAGGTTTTTTTCCTAATTTAGGATTTTTTGTTTGCATATGTAAACAGTGCTCACTCTGGTTTTAGAAAGCAAGTCTAGTTTGCAGAATAGGCAACTAGAAAAATATCATCTGGACCTTCGTATACAGCAAATTTGGAAAGAAAACCACCAGTGGACAAAAAAAACATATTGAATGCTAAATGTAATTGCCATGATGACTCTAATTACAGCCACAATCAAAAGATAGTCTAAACTTTAGACCCACGGTTTAGTCACAGCTTCTTTTTCACGCCTACTCATTACATAAGTCATGGAGTAAATGGTCATTTAGAGCATTATTTGTCAAATTCCCACATTCCTAATGAGCTGGAGAGACTCTCCATGTACACTTTTAAAAAGTCACTAAAAATCCTTTGGGTCACAGGAGTAAAATTAAACATCCTGCCATGGACAATGGTAAGTGAAATTGCAAATATGTAGTCCTGGGTGTAAAGGTTCACTTCACTCAAAAGCATTTCCAAATCAAATAACTTCAAATGATAAACTCTTTTTTAATATTCTTACAGACAAAGAAATTCCATAACAACTTTTGGGGAGGATGGGGGGAAACAACAAACTACACTTCTATGAAGTATGAAAATGTTAAAAATATTTTTTTATCCATAAAACTACAATTATCGAGGGCTTACTAACCTATTTAGGATTTCAGAATATTTACTATCTAATCTTAGCATACTGCACTTTTGGGCTAAATACACAAATTCATTATATTAACACAGAATTTTTTTACAGTAGCGGCAGCACTCTTAAACATGTAAAAACATGTTACAGGTTATAAAATAGTGATAGATTCCAAATGCAGTCAAAGTAATCTCAGATTAAAACTGGCATCAAATTCGAATAAACACATTCACCTACCAAATAGCACCAGAGATTGNTATATGGGCTTAACTTTGCCAAGTAACAAGATTGAAGGCAGAAACATTAAGTAACAAGATTGAAGGCAGAAACATTAAGGATCCATCTGAGGCTGACTAAGTCAACACTGACAAGATTTTGCCCAACAGTGCTTAGCTACTCAGAGGTAAATAAAAACAATAACACTATGTATGTGCTAGGCGTTGTTCTTACAGAGTGTATGTACTGACTCATTTAATTCTCATACAAGAGAGCGATGTAAGGCTCAAATTGCGCAGGAGTAGAGGAGGTTGATCATGGTATTGGTATTTCATGAATGGATGCAGTGAAAAATAGAAGACTATGCAGGGATCAAGACTTCATGAAAGTCAAGGACAAAAGTGGGGTTGGAAGAAGGCCAGTGAATAAGGAGAAGAAGACACTGAAGCTCTAAGGGTCTCTCTGAGGCTGATTGTGGTTGGGATTGAGAGAAAGACAGACTTGGAAGGACAGAAAGTTGTGGTTAGAGAACAGTGTATTGAGTTTGAGATTTTAGGGGGATTTCAAATTCACTTCTGCCTGACTTTTATTCCTATCACTAATACCCAAAAATACAGTCTTAAGGACTTAATCAAACAAAAGTCTGGTTGAGTTCCAGCTTTAGATGAGTAATTGTGAGCAAGAAATTTAATTTTTCTGAGGCTCCTATTTCTTCACCTATAAACTAAATATGATAAAATGCCTATCTCATAGGTTACATGAAAATCACTTGAATTGATGACCGTTAGGTGCCTACATTATACTATATCTGGTATAAAGTAGATGCTCAATCTACTATACACATTAACATTCACCTTTACAGCATTATCACCATCATTATCTTTAGCTTATACATAATTAAAAGAAGCTTAAAGAAACCATGAGGGCAACGCTCAGTGTCTCATTCATCCTGACGTCTTAGCACAGGGTCTGACACACAGGAAGGACTCAGTGAATGGATGTGGAACCCAAGCAATTTGCCGCCTTCCATTTCGGGGGTCACCTACTCTAATATCTTTGGGGAAAAATAGTTTTTCTCATGCTGGCTTCTGATTCAGTCCACATCAAAGCCTGCTTCTTTGCCTGACCTAATAGAACAAATATTTATGGAGACCTGTTTTGTGTCTGGCATTTTGCTAGGAGCTGGGTATATTAATGGTGCCCAAACAGAAAGGTCTTTGCCCTCATAGAGCTTACAGTCGGAAAGGAAGCAGACATTAATGGGATAATCTTACAAATAAATATAAAATTACAACTATGATACATGCTACTAAGGAGAAACTATCAAGAGGAGACTGATCTAGTCAAAGAGGGCGGGGAAAGTTTCTCCATATAAACAATAATTGAGCTGAGAAAGAATATGACAAAAAGGGAAAGGAAGAGTTCCCTAGGCAAAAGGAACAGCATACACAAAGTCTCTATAAGGAGGAGCGAGTCAAGAATAAGACTCGTGTGGTTGGAACAAAGAGAAACAGAGAATGTGTTGTGCTGGATGATGCTGGAGAGGAAAGCGATGGTCAGCGTATGCAGGGCCCAGAATGTCCACTCATTCTACCACTGGTCATCACACGGAACTACAGGCCTCTATTTTTCTTGATTAAATGTTGGTCTGAGCCAAAGAGAAATGAAGAAAAAGCCTTACTTTATTCTCTCCCTTAATTCCCCATTCATCACTAGCCCAAGACTGCTGTAAAGAGTAGAATTTTTATAGAAAGTTTGGGAGTAAGGAACGGGAAAACCTGGCAGGGTTCAAATAGGGGACATGTGAAAATTGAATAACAGACATTACTGGTGTTCACATGTTCCAAGGCCATCTTTCACTCCAAACTCAGCTAGGACGCTAAGCCACGGCCATCTACTCTGGGTTCCTACCCCTAGCAATGCAGCTGCAGCCGTTATTCCTGCTGATGTTTGTTCTTTTTGACCTGTCCAAGGTCAGGTTCTTGAGCATGACTTCCATCACTACAGATGAGAGCAGGATGTTCGTGCATAAAGGTAGGCTCATTTCTTTGAGTTCATTTCTTCCATCACAATGAATAACCAAGAACTCCTAGGTTGGCTCACTGAAAACCAGTCAGATGACTGTACAATAAAATTCCTTTTAATAAAAAAAAAAAAAACCTGCACCACGTAAAACTTTTCATTCATTTAACAAGCATTTATATAGCACTTAAAATGTGCCATTGG